TTCAGGGCTTTGTAGGTGAGCACCTGCACCTTGAATTGGGCTCGGAAAATAAATGGCATATTAGCTGACCTTCTTTTATTGTGTGCTGAAATCCAGATTGCAGAATCAAAATGGCAGTTTTGGTTTTGATTTCTCTCTACACCTTTCACTATTACTCTTAAATGCTGTCTGTTATTCTCATCAAGGTACTTACAGTTCTTGTTCATATAATAAGTAGCACATTTCCAAAACCTCACCATCACTGTAGCTACAGCTGTCTGTCCTTTGCCCTTACACCCAATATGCAGTCATACCTGTTGCTTTCCAGCCTTAACCAGCAAGGTACTAACCAGGTGTTAGGTATCTGGCACCATGTTTAAATTCTTAAATTAGCTGTTTACAAAACATTTCATTCTGAACTAATTTTGAAGGAACCACATTAGCAAGTCTTCTTAAAAAGTTCAGAGGCTATAATGTAATCTCAATTTATGTATAGATTTGTTACTGAAGCTGTTCATGGAAGGATGTGATTATGAAAATCTGTTGAAAGAATAAGTTCAGATAAAGAAATGAGAACAAGCATGACAGACACAATGAATGTATTCAAGTTTTTATACAAATATTGGTTGAGACAAATCCTTTGGGAATTGCAGTGCAGATTATAAACATTCATCTATTGTTAATGCTTTGAAGCATTCAAAGTCAATATAGTGTTGACGTCTAGGTTAGAACTTATGTGAGTGAATTTGTGCAGTGAAATGGCCTTAAAGCATCATACATTGAAATGGCTTTGATATGGTCAAAACACATCTTAAAAGATGACAGACGCCTAACAAGTCACATTTATTTCTGCTACCAGGAAACGTGTACTTTAAAAGACAGCAGGAATTATTTGGCAAATTTGTTATGAAGATCCTAATGTTCTTATTGCTGTTGTTAATTAATACAAATTTCAAGGTGTTCTGTGGTCTTTTAGTCACATAATTCTTGCTGTAAATATGTTTAAACTGATGCAGTTGTCTTTTCAAGAAAGATTTGCCTTTCAGTGCTGAATTTTACTGCAATTGTCTATAAGAAAGATTTACTATTATAACCAGAGTAATCCATCTCCTTTCTCTTGAAGTTTGGTACAGCTTGTGCCATTTTTGTGCTGTGCTTTATTGCCTATCATATGGATGAGAGCACCAGAGACAGCTGGCTTTCCATTCTCTATCCGATGTTGGCATTGTGTTATTTATTATGCTATTTCACTGGAAGGAATGGTCTTAACAAATTGTGCTCTCACAAAATGTATTTAATACTATGTGAAAAGGCAGTTACAGTGAAGAAATAACTTGAGTACTAAAATCCGTAGATCATTCAGATGCTCTGCCTCTTTTCATTGCTTAAGTGTAACAGAAGTGCCTGGTTTGCATGTGCATGGAAGAGTCAGCAGCATCTCATTCTTTTTTGAGATCGGATATCCTGAAGCTGTGGCAGTTGCCTGGCACAGAATCTGAAAAAAAGATGCACATGTTGGAAGAAAAGCAAGCCAGCTTTGCAAAATGTCAGATCACCCACTGACTTTCCTCATATTATAAGTTACTACTGGCCTGGTCTATTTCTCTTTTCTTCAACATTACTATAAAGAGATTATTGGAAGATGTGGCTTGTGCCTCATCCTGACCCACAAACTATATTCTGTGAAAACAAGCCATCTTCATAAAGCATCTCATTTGTGCACACTGAAAATAGTTAAGATTAACTATATGTACCCTACCTCTGTGAATGTTTAACACAGCAAGTTAGAGTTAACTTAAAACAAAAGCAAACACTTCCAGTCTCTCCATAGCCTCACTGGAGAAATAAATCCATTTCATAATGTTAAATTATGATATAATGTTATGGGCAGACCAACTCTGTGAGCATCCCTGTCATTATTTCACATCATGTTTTGGTGGAGGTAAAGAAGCACTCAACATAATAAGGACATCAGAACAGATTGTATTAAACTTTATGGATGACTATGCATGAACACACCTTTTTTGGTAGCATTCCAGTGTGTTACAACATTGAATGCTGCTCTGTGAATGAAGTTATGGATTTCTGAGGTGCATTTGAGTTGCTCTCTGGAAGGTGTGGGGATGCAATGTAAATTTCAGTGTTTCACCTTTGCTTATTATGTGATTGTATAGATATAAGTAGGCAAGGTAAAATGTTTTAGGTGAATAGCAAATCCAGATTGATGTAGCTGCACATGTTACTTGTTCGCTCAGGTATATTCCCGTTTGGATCAACCATTGACAGCTCTAAATGTTTTCAAACAAGGATTAGAACGGTTTCCTGGAGAAGTCTCCCTTATTTGTGGTATTGCGAGGATTCATGAGGTATGCAAACCAAGCTTTTGCCTTTTCGAAAAAGACTGATTTTCAGTATGTTCACTGTTGTCCTGAGAAATGAACTGCATTGGTTCCCACTATATAAGGAGAGGAGTAGGGACAAGACCAAGATCAACTTTGCCCTTAATTATAGTGATGTTGGGAGTCTTATAGTGATGTTGGGAGTCAGAACATCCATTCATCTTGTTCAGCGATTTCCAGGCTCTGGTCCTGCAGATATTTTGGACTTCAACTTCCAGTACTCTCAGCCACTTTGGCCAGTGGTCAGAGATTCGGGAACTGAAATAAAACACACAGAGCACCAGAGTTTGGGAATCACTGATATAATCCAATCTGGGATCTTATACATGTTGTAACTCATTAGTGGGCTATAGATATAATTTTAACTGGAGCAGTGACATCTGCTGGAGTAGCATGCTGTGTGTAATTCAGTGTTTGAGATGAATCCATGTATAATCAAGAGAGCATTACTAGACAGTGACATTTATATGTCATCTGTCTCGAGTTATGTTTCCCTCACCTCCCTCCCCCCAGTTTATCAATGGTATTTTTCAAGCTGAGTAGGAATCATGTGACCTGCCAGAGGATGTTCAGCTTCACCTGTTTAACTTTTCTCACCATTGACTATACTGGCTAGGACAAATGAGAGCTACATCTGGAGGGCTTCTTGATTCCTATCCCTCATTTAAAGCGTGACTGATAAGCTTCAGCTTAAAGAATTTTGACTGTCAATGTCTCATCCCCATCATTGCTTTGGCCTTTGTGGCCAGGCTGTGAGACGGTCTGAATTGTTTAGATTCATTAGGAGGCAGCAATTAGACTGTCCTGTACATTATTTTATCGCAGGTTAACCCTCAGTAGTGAAGATAGTACATTTAAATTCTCAGTTAAGATTGGCTTTCACATGATCATTCCATTTTCCCACACTGAACTCAAGGTGGGCATACATGGCTATCCTCCTGACTTATATTCTTGTGAGATGGGTCAGTCTGTATGACTATACCAAAGTTACCTGATAAATTTCATGGTGAAGTAGACACTCCAAGCGTGTATCTACTCTGTAGAGCAGTGGTTCCCAACCTGTGGGTCCCAGATGTTTTAACTCCCAGAAATCCTAACAGCTGGTAAAGTGGCTGGGATTTTTGGGAGTTGTAGACAAAAAACACCAGGGGACCCACAGGTTGAGAACCACTGCTGTAGAATTAATAGTTTGATGCCACTTTAACTGTCATGGATCAATGATATGAAATCCTGGATTTGGAGGTTTGGCAAGGCATCAGCATTCTTTGGCTCTGGTGGTTAAAATCTTGAAGCCTTCTGCTCTGAAAGAGATCAGTTATAGCTACCTACTGTTAGAGTTCAAATGGTACTGCAGGCTACAAACTCATTGTAATCAACCAAATTTGATTTATGACAGCACACCAAAAATGCACATTCTCAGAGTTTCCTTGATACATGGAGGTTTGACAGTTTGACATGTGGTAGAGACTGGCAGACACACACACACATATATACACACACACTTTTATTAATATAGAAAGCATTTTATATCTCACTTTTCCTGCTCAAGACAGCAGACCACAATGAGATATATTGACACTGCATTACTTTATTTGTCTTTTCTTTTGTGAAGGCTGTAGGGAATGAGGATAGAGCAGGCATGGGCAAATTTTGGCCCTCTGGGTGTTTTGGACTTCAACTCCCACAATTCCTAACAGCTGACAGGCTGTTGGGATTTGGGGGAGTTGAAGTCCAAAACACCTGGAGGGCCAACGTTTGCCCATGCCTGGAATAGAGCCTGTTCTTTAAATAACTACCCATGCTGTTTTAAAGCTCAATCTGTATATGCCTACTCAGATTACATTCCACTGAGTTCAATGATGTTTACTTTCAGGTAAATTGGTATATAATTGTTGCCTTGATTGGCCTGTCTGTGACTTCCAGTTCAAGAAACAATTCTTTCAACAGCTCTTTGGAAAGCTTTCAGTCACAATTGACAGAGTAGATTGGGCCAACAATGAGGAAAGAGTATGTTTTCCATGCTACAGGAAACTGATGCTATTATCTTGTACTGTTTGCCCTGTGGCAGGCTATAAATAGCAAAAGAATCCCCGTGACATATGGTTGTTTACTCTGAGCAGGCTTGAAGAAAATGTCTTGAATCTAAGTTAAAATGGCTGTTTCATGATTACAGTATAAGTCATTAATACATGTGCATGCATTTTCTGCAGTATACTTGGGTTCTGCTAGTAAATGTAAAGCTGAAGTGATAAGTATTTATATCATAATACATTACATACCATAGTGTCTAATGTAACTGTAAAGTTAGTCTAATACATATTTCAAATAGTCTACTTGTTAATTGATTTCAAAGCTTATTGTTAAAGTTATGCACCAGTCAAATGATTTTACAATTTAAATAAACTTTTTAATTTCTGATAGGAAATGAACAACATTTCTGCAGCTGCAGAATGCTATAGAGATGTTTTAAAGCAAGACAATACTCACGTGGAAGCCATTGCATGCATTGGAAGTAATCACTTTTATTCTGACCAGCCAGAGATAGCATTGCGGTTTTACAGGTAGTGTATCTGTGTGTCATTCTCTGTGCTTATGTAGGCACATAGGTGTTTTACAGCCCTTAATGCTAGTATTTTGAGCTACTCTTACTGGCCATCCATTTCCATATTTGAAGATATGGCAAACAATATTTCTTTTTCTGTTGCTAATTTTGTTCTTGGTATTATAATTGATTCTTTTGTTTGTCAGAACACCTTTTTGCTGTTGCACTATACAGTAGTTGCCTCCAGACAGAGAGATCTTCTCCTTATGCTTTGCCTAGCAGCATTTGCCATCCCTACTCTGAGTTTCCTGATTTTCTGACTCCTCAGAACAAAAGCAAGCAAGACTAGCTTTGCTTCTTAAGAAATGACATTTCTCTCAATTCCTTAAAAAAATGACTTAATGTGTGAATGCTGGACAAGATTAGTTGGGTCCAGAGTATTTGAAAAACCTTATCTCCCAATATGTGCCTCCCATTCTCTAGGACCTGCAGTGAAGGCTCTCTCAGTCCTAACCACTAGTCCAGGTATCTCTTGTTCAGACATGAGAGAGAGCCTTCTTGCTTGCTGCTCTCATGTTATGGAACTCGCTTTCTTGGAAGGTCTAGTTGTATCCCTCTTTGCTGTCTTTCTTCTGGCAGGCAAAGACCTATTATTTAAATGTGTTGTGGAAGATAGAACTTTTAATGGGGAAAGGGGATGTGTATTTTTATTCTACTACATTTTAAGGGCCTTTTAATGCTGCTTTTATTTTAAATGTGTTTTGTACTAAGACTTGTTTAACTGCACTGTGCTTCTAAAACATTGTATGCCAACTTGGAACATTGTATGCCATGCTGAGAAAAAGGTGGGATATAAATAAAATAAATAGGTCAAAACCTCATGTGAAAATAGGAGCTTTTAAAATAAACACGTCAGGTAATGAACAAAGTCTTGCTGATGAACTCTTGCCCTATAATAAATATATTAATGCAAGTCCTCCAGGACTTTATGAATAGTAGTTTCCACTACATCAGTAGAGTGTTCCAGAACTGCTGCAGTCACTAGTACTTGATCCTAATGGGGAAAGGTAATGGTGATTACTCCAGAAGACAGTTTTGGTCCATCTCTGTAACAGATTAGAGAGATGGGCCAAAACTAACAAAGTTAACTTCAACAGTGACAAATGCAAGATACTCCACTTAGGCAGAAAAAAAATGAAATGTAAAGATACAGAATGGGGGACACCTGGCTTGACAGCAGTATGTGTGAAAAAGATCTTGGAGTTCTCATGGATAACAAGTAAAACATGAGCCAACAATGTGATGTGGCAGCTAAAAAAGCTAATGGGATTTTGACCGGCATCAATAGGAGTATAGTGTCTAGATCCAAGGAAGTCATTCTACTCCTCTATTCTGCCATGGTTAGACCACACCTGGAATACTGTGTCCGATTCTGGGCACCGCAGTTTAAGGGAGATGTTGACAACCTGGAATTTGTCCAGAGGGGGGAGACTAAAATGTTCAAGGGTCTGGAGAACAAGCCCTATGAAGAGTGGCTTAAAGAGCTGGGCAAGTTTAGCCTGCAAAAGACCAGGCTGAGAAGAGACATGATGGCCATGTATAAATATGTGAGGGGAAGTCATAGGGAAGAAGGAGCAAGCTTGTTTTCTGCTGCTCTGGAGACTAGGACGTGAACACTGGATTCAAACTACAGGAAAGGAGATTTCACCTGAACATTAGGAAGAATTTCCTGACTATGAGAGCTGCTCAGCAGTAGAACTCTCTACCCCAGACTGTGGTAGAGACGCCTTCTTTGGAAACCTTTAAACAGAGGCTGGATGGCCATCTGTCAGAGGTGCTTTGAGGGTTAGGGTTAGGGTTCTTGGCAGGGGTTTGGACTGGATGTCCCACGAGGTATCTTCCAACTCTATGATTCTATTATTACTGTTATTGGAAAGTTTCTGGTCATCTCTGACAGCTCTGTTTGGGTTACAGAGAATGGATGGAACCTCTTAATATTTATGTGAAATAAATGCGTTGTTGATGTTGACTAAAAATTCTTAGTGTTGATGTGACTGATGTATGAGTAGCGTACCTAGAAGGAGTTGATAAGAACATAGAAATCTGCCACAGTGAGTGGGAGGATTAGCCCATCTAGCCAGTATTGGCAGCAGTAATTGGCATTGAATCTCTAGAAGCTGAGTCAAAGCTTTTCCCAGTCTTATCTGGAGGACATGTTGATGTTCCTTTCAACATTTCCTTTGCCCACCTTCTAAAATATTGGACACATTTATGCCAACACTCTGAATATGGGTTCTTCATGTGTATCAGTGGTTCATAAGTTGATGTGGGAAAGAATCATATTACAACAATTTTCATTGCAGTAAATGTACCACTTGGAATCCTTAATTGATATGACAGTTACTCAAGTTATATCAGTAGCTTGTATGATCTGTACTGCAAAGGTACAATTTTGAAATGTTTCTGTCTTGAATTAGACGGCTCCTACAAATGGGCATTTATAACTGCCAGCTATTTAACAACCTGGGCCTCTGCTGTTTCTATGCTCAGCAATATGACATGATTCTCACCTCCTTCGAACGTGCACTATCTCTAGCTGAAAGTGAGGAAGAGGCTGCAGATGTCTGGTACAACTTGGGACATGTAGCTGTGGTAAGAGCAATATTTGTTCAGGTTATTTTGTTGAAGTATGTGTGCAGAAAAATGATTTTTTTTTCTCAGAAGGTTTTTAGGACAGCTGTGAGTACTGGAGAACAAATAATTTGACAAACCCTGTCTGATTGGTTTGAGGGCATTTTAAAGATCAAAAAGACACACACACATCATCTTGAGGAAGGCAGAAAAAATCTTATGTAATTCTGCAGTGGCTAGAGGAAAAAAAGTAGTGGTGAAGTATATTTACCTACAGTGACTGCATTAATTCTCTCCCACACTGGTTCAGGTATATTTGGGCTAGTTTTTGTTCATCTGTCAAGAAATAAAAACATTCAGCATGAACAATTCAGTGATTTTGTTTTAGTTATTGCAGTTCTGAGGGCAGCCATTTAAAAAAAAATAAATTCTGGGATTAGATTCGGCAGTGGTTAGTTGAGTACATTACATCACTATGACTTCAAAAGTCTTCCTCTTTGAAATTTCCACATCTCCGTAGATTGAAAGATGAACTGTGATTGACCCAAAGCTAAATAATCCCAAACATAAACATCATTCCCCTCTGGTTGTAGTGCCCATTCATGGTGAGATTCTTAATCTTGCTGAAAATCATCATTGCAAAGCCCTAATTCAGTAGAGCACACTTCTAATTCAATATTATAAACATATTTATGTAGAATTACAGTTACAGAACTGGATCTATTCTAAGGTGTCATCAGTTTCCTTTGACATGTTGATCTGAGGAAGAATTCAACCAATGATCTTAAGAAGGAGCATAACTTGCCTGGTTAGGTCCAGGGTGATTTATAACTAGCTGCCAGATGCAAAGGGTTATGAATATTTAAATCTATACACAGTTCTCATAATTTCATTAATGGTGCAAAAGATGCTTCTGAAAGACTGATCTAGTTCCTCCTGCTGCCCAGTGAGGAAAGGGTCACATGACTATGATTTTGGTTTTGTGGTGATCCCAGGCTTTCCTTCTGCCCTTCTTTTATCTGTGCCTTAAAGAGGTAAGAACTGAGAGGCCAAGTATCAATAACCGAGAGTGGGTACTTGGCTCTAGCTCTTCCATTAAAAGCTCCTTGGCCCCTAAATGTCCCTGATGCTTGCACTTGCATGACCTGTTAAATGTCTTCCGTGTGGTCTTGTGCAAGCAGAGTGTAAAGACAGCTTAAAACAGGATTAGTTTCCCTTTCAGAAACTGTATTATTAGGCAGAGCCTGCCAGGTGAAATCCGAATAGCTAGTCCTTTGGTGAGGCAGTGTGATATGTCTTAAGGGTCCATAACTCTCCCTAGAACAGTGGTTCTCAACCTGTGGGCCTCCACATACTTTGGCCTTCAACTCCCACAAATCCTAACAGCTGGTGAACTGGCTGGGATTTCTGGGATTTGTTGGCCAAAATGCCTGTGGACCCACAGGTTGAGAACCACTGCCCTAGAGTATAGGGGACACCAAACCAGTGAATTATGGGAATTTTCTTTGCAAATATAACTGCAGTGAAGAGCAGTGTTCATTGCAAGGTTTAGTTCTAGCCTATAAGCCATGGAGAGTACAGAGCACCCAAATGTGTCTGCTTCTTTTCTGTGAAGCCTAGGAAAAACCCAACTCGATATATGTTTTGTCTGCATTGCAGTGAGATCTGCTAATGTGGTCCAAACATTTGCTAGAATATATCAGGCTTGTCTCTTATTAGGGGCTAAGGAAAATCACTCCATCTGTCCCCTAAGTTGTATCTCCTCCCCATTCTCGATCCTTATTCCTAGGCTGGCATGTGTGTTGCCAGTGATCTTGCCTGGCTCGTAGAATAATGTCCTGTTCTGAAGATTTCTGGGATATGAGCCCTTGAGGGGAGCTCAGATTAATCACGCTTCCTTCTTTTTCTTCATTGTGCTGATTGAAATGTAATAGTATTGGCAATGAGCTTTTATTGCACTTGCAAATAATATATATTGGATGATATATTATTTACTTTTGTTTCCTAGGGAATTGGTGATATAAATTTGGCTTACCAGTGTTTCAAGTTAACGTTAACCAATAACAATGATCATTCAGAAGCTTATAACAATTTGGCAGTACTGGAGATGCAGAAGGGGCGCGTTGAGCAGGTTGGTATTAAGTGCTAAAAGAAATATGGAACACTTGTCACTTGTGTTTCCAGAAAGCTATTACTTTATATAAGTGAAGAGGTAAATAGAATGGGGGACTACATCACAGTCTGTTTAGCAGATTCATTGCTTTGGAATTCCCTGTCCCCCACTCGGAGATTTCATTCTCTCACATATAACATTCCCTTCTACTTCCGAGAAAGAGCTTTGATGTTAAAAAAAGAAGCAAATTTGCAACATTTTTGAGCATATGTTGTTTAAGAATTGTGAATGAATTAAATTAAATATGTAGCTCAATGAGGATTCCATAGAAATCCCTTTGAAACCAAGTGATACTTGCTAGTACAATAGAATCTGGTGTGATTAGCTTTGTTGCATTAAAAAGAAGAGACAGTATTGGAATAATTTGTAAGTTGCTCTTCTTGATTATGTCTTACAGTAGCAAGAATTAAAGGGCATGGGTTTTTCTTAAAATGCTGTTAATATGTATCACTTCTGATGTGTTTTTTGTTAGCTGTGAACAAAGCTGTGGAAGAATTACAATATGAAATACAGCCCTGAGTGAAATCTCTCTAAAAAGCACGTCGCTTCCAGGGCTACCATATAAATATTCTATCAATTACCATGGCAACATTCAAATGTACTTGTGCATGATTTTCTGCTGTGACAGATTATCAGTTTTATTGTAAAGCTATATTCATCTGGAATACAGTTAGGCTTCATTTGTACATTAATATATAATAACAGTGAGAGAAGTGATTTATTGAAAACAATTTAAAAATTATCATTTCCTTTCAGATCTCTTCTTTCAACTTGTAGTTTCTGTTGTGATAATCATGGGGTAAAGTTTACTATCTAGGACTGAACTAGGTAATGTTGCCTTTCTGTGTGACCCATGCTTAGTCCAACACCATTTTCTAAAGTGGTTGGGAGAGCTTCCATCTTACTACAAAAGATGCGTATTCTGGGCAATTTCTTACTATTTCCTTGTAATTCCTTGACAAATGATGTCAAAAGAGTAGAATCCCAAAGTAGCAGACTTATGAAAACAATTATTCAAAATCAGATTTCACCCTACATTTGCCAATTGTCAGTTGGAAATTTCAGGCCACTTATGAACAGGCCAGTTTTGAATAATGTCATTTGCCTGCTGCTTTCCAGCATTGTGTTATTCAATATTACTGTAATAAGAAATTTGTAGACTGATCGGCAATATGCAACAAGCAGTCAGTAGTCTTCAAACCATTCATTCTAATATACCGTAGCTCCATTATTTAATAATAGCCCTGTGTTACTATTGAGGGAACCGACCAAGAAATGCATTTGTTTATCTATATTGACTTTTTGTTCAATGAAAAATTTCAAAAAAATTAGTGTTGTTAGTGTCTCAGAAGAGAACTACAGTGGTTGTAACTACCATACTTCTTAGACTGGGCAAATGCATATTGTACAGCTTGGGTGTAAGACTGCATTTATACACACCATCCACATCACAGCCTCTTTGTGACAACCTACTTTGTGAGCCTTCAAGGGGCTATGAAATAAAATGCTGCTTCCCAAGCACTTCAAAGGATTGAGCACTTGTCAATTTTACTCCCTTGCCATCACACAAAAATAAAGCTGTGGGATCATCAGAGAAGAAAAATAGCACTGTATCATGTTTTTTCATGTGTCCCAGCCCAGGGTTTTGGAATAATGTATAAAATCATTCCCTAATCTGGAGTGGGGTGCATTGCATATCTGTAGGTGTATGTAATGTTGATGCAATGTTATGTCCTTATATAACATGAATACAGCATCTCCTCCTGTGACTGTTGTAAATATTATGGATGTGGACGACTAAAAAAAACCTGCTTGATTTGTCTGTACAAAAATTGTGCAACCTTTGTTTTCATTCTAAAATGTTTGGGGGAAATCATAATGGGTAAGTGTCGAAACTGTTACGGAGTTCCAAAAAGATCATTAGTTTTTTGCTGTTATTCACTCATTTGTGCCAATGGGGACATTGATGGGGCTCCTCCCTACCTCTCTCAGTTTTAGGACTATCACGATGAAACTTACTGTAATTGTAGCACACATTTACCACTCTTAAGTCCTCCAGTTGCAAAATGTTTTAAAATATGTTTGCGAACTTTTTTTTTTTAAAAAAACTACAAGATCTACCCCCTCAAATATCTTTAAAATGACACATCATAAGTTGGGCATCCCCCCCCCCCCCCCCAGTTTTAGAAAAATATGAACATCCATTGATTTTTAGGGAATTTAAAATGTTTTCTTCTTTCTTTCTCCTAATTCCACAAAACAAAGATGGGAAAATCAAAATAATATAGAACTTCAACTGAAGGATTTTCCTCCTGACTAGTCAGTCCAGCACACATTTACTACTTACTAACAGTCCTCTTTGCAGATTCAATATACTACTTGGAACTTTTTCTTCCATTAAGTTGCTTTCTTCTGATGTGAAAAGAATTCTGTGTAATGTAGTTTAGGAAAACAATGCCCCCTGTGGCAGAGAATTGAAAAGGCCCTGTCCTAAACTACATTTCCCAGAGTTCTATTTGCGTTAAAGCCCCAATATGATGAGTTCGGTACTTCATACCCCTCTCCCTCAGCTCTGATAGGCTGAGGGGTATCAAGTTTGGCTTCAACTTGATGTCCCTCATTTTGCTTGCAGAGAAAATATAAAAAGATGTAGGTGAGTGTTTCAAATAGTTAGATTTTTCTGTGGGCACTGCTTACATTTTGAAAATGGCTTTGAATGTACAGAATATTCAAAATACAAATGACATTTGAAGCACATATGACTTTCTGCCCAGCCCTAATAAATAGGTATATTACAATATAGCCATGCCACTTGAGTGAAGGTCTGTAGCTTTGAAGAAAGTCAAGGCTCTTCTGGACTCTTGGACCAGTCCTTAAACACACTTCTGGAATGAGCTTCATATATTCCAAGTAGCCTAGAACGTACTTAGTCCTAATCCCTTTTTATACTGATTTTAAACCACTTCATTGGCTGTGCTGCAATAGCAGATTAGTTTAGTGTTTATACCTTATTTATTTATTTGGTTATTTAATACTTAATGTTTATTTTACAAATGATATTTGTCTTTACTGTTCTAATGTAGCAAAAATCCTATGTAAAATCATACGTATTTTTAACAATATTTTTATTTTTTCAACTTTACAATACTTTGCTTACACTTAGTTTCCATTGGTGCTCCATATAATTGCTTTTATCTGCACCCTCTCTTTTTATACATTCTTCTCTTTTAAATAAAGGGGAAAGGGAAAAAGGGGAAATGAAAAATAGGGGGGGGGAAGGGTGAAGATGGGTGACCTTACACTTTTCTCATATTACAACATCAACAATAAACTTTAATGTATTCTTCAAAACTCAGAATTGGCAAGACCTTCTCTTCTCTTCTCCTATGTAGCCCAATTCATTGGCTATCCAAGAAAGGCTGCTATTATCAGTACTGAAAGAGTGATCTTAATTGCTAGTGCAGATCCATGGTTAAGACACGTTAATCTCCATCCCCCATGATGGAGTTCAGATCACTGTTTTCCACATAACTGCTAGAACATTCCTATTCTATACAAACACACAATTCAACTTTTTCTTCATTCTCGTCTTACTCAGGCCAGAGTGCTTCTCCAGACTGCTTCATTGATAGCACCTCATATGTATGAGCCACACTTCAATTTTGCTGTATTGTCTGATAAGGTAATGTAATTTCTCTTCTCTGCAGTATTCAGGTTTGCATTTTTAAATATTTTTATCCCACCCTTGTGCCAAAAAGAATCTTCATATGTGGCTTTTAAAGATCAGTAATATAGCCCGTCTTTGTGTTTACACAGTATAAAAGAAATAAATGAGGTAGAAAGAGGTAAGATAAAAAAGCAAGTTCATACACTGGGCCCTTGCTAGTTTTTATAGCTGTTCTTTCTGACAGGAAGGAGAGAAACAAGCCCCTTATAGCTGTTTTTTTCTGACTAATGGACAACTCCCTTACAGCTTCTAGATGACCCTTGGCAGTATGTTTCTCTGGAAGCCCTTCCATACAGTCATATAACCCAGAATATCAAGGCAGAAAATCCCACAATATCTGCTTTGAACTGGGTTATTTGAGTCCACACTGCCATATAGTCCAGTTCAAAGCAGATAATGTGGGATTTTTTTTCAGCTGTGTGGAAGGGGCCTCAGATATTCCAGTTCAAAGCAGATAATGTGGGAACTGGATCATTGCTTGTTGGTCTGAAAACAGGGCCAAACTGTAAAGTAAATAAGGGTTATGAGTATTTTTAAGTTATTTATATTTTGTTGGCTGTTTAGAGGTGTTTCTCATGTGCTTGATGCAATCTGTGCAGGGCTAGAAGGCAGTAATAGGCATCTATTGAGAAAATTGGATTCTTTTTTCTTTAGTATGTCTAGGAAGAGTGGGAATCATATGGCCCTGTGGCAGCATGCAGCCCTGAGAGCAATTTTTGTGACCCAGCAAGACTATCCTGGAGTCTCTGCCCAACTCTGATGTAAAAGTTTGTTCCTTAAGACTGTTAAGAAAGCTATCTGCCATACTGGAAAGCTATCTGCCATACTGAAATCAGCCAGAAAATGTGTTTGAATTTTCTTGACTCCTACTTACTTATTCAGTTTATGTTGTTATGTGCAATATTCTTCAAAGCTATATTGTCAAAAATACCATCTACATGGAAAAGTGGTGACTACTCTTCTAAAAGCAAATACGCAGTACTAATTCCTTGAGAGCAGAATTCTGTATGTGTTTAAGTATAAGTCTTAAAGACACATAACTGCAGGAGGCATCTAGAAGTGTAAGTTGTAGTCCATTCCCACCTATCAAATCACAATTGTCAGTAACATTTCTTTTCTCTCTCTTTGTTTTGTAGGTTGGTGATCTTCAGAGGAGTTACATGGCAGCCCAGAAATCTCAAGAAATATTTCAGGAACATGTGGATACACAACAGCTTATAAATCAGTTAAAACAGCACTTTGCCAGACTTTGATGAAACTCCTTTTGTTCAAAACTGTCTTCTTCAGAGTTGTTAACTAGTGTAGACAAAGGGGATGAGTTGATACTTAATTCTCAGAATATTTTTATAGGAAACTTCCTCTAAAGAAGAGTCATCCACGAAACTTGCGTGTTTCTCTCCAGACTGGTAAGAACTGCTTGCTTAAGCAAAAGTGACTGTAAAATGGCATAATCTACTTGACGTGTCTACTAGCAGCGTTCTTTTTTCATATATTAAGTGAAGGGTTTGCTTCATCCCATATAAAATAATAGGAGCATTTCATGTAAGAGTTGCTAGAAAATGAAGCCTGCCTTTGTTCCTCTTTGTATATGTTTATTTCTTTTTTGAGGAGGTATTTTCCTTTTTATTCACTCTATGTGAAAATAGTTGCATTGCGTGGCACAATTCTGTTTCAGATAGGAAGTGTTAGTTTGCTTTAACCTTTTTCCCACTGTGGCAACCTTAGCATATGATTCTTGTTTAAGAATGGCATTGCTTGCATTTTGTGTGTGTGTGTCAGGATGACAAGAGAAACTGCAAGTCGCTTCTGGTGTGAGAGAACTGATCATCTGCAAGAACATTGCCCAGGGGATGACCTGATGTTTTTGATGTTTTACCATCCTTGTGGGAGGCTTCTCTCATGTCCCTGCATGAGGAGCTGGAGCTGACAGAGGGAGCTCAACCCACTCTCCCTGGATTCAAACTGCTGACCTGTTGGTCAGCAGTCCTGCCAGCACAAGGGTTTAACCCATTGTACCACCAGGGGCTGCTATCCTTGCATTGAAGTCTCTAGGGATGTCTGGTAGACCCTGATGTCTCTTGATGCCACTGCACTCCACAGCTCTTCATGATGATGGCGCTAGCATATATTTCACAGCAAGAGTGTTATTTTCTTTGAACCTTAGAGTAGACATAAACCAAGCACAGGATGTGGAAATAATAAACATTGGATGTGTAGAATGATATTTTGAGAATGACTATCTTAATGGGGCAAGTTCAGTTGAGCAGGAAAAGGAAGATGGTGGCGGTTGTGACATATCATACTGCCTTTTCTTGACTTATCCTCATTTGTAAATCCTGGCTAACTTTCATTAGGTAGCTAGTGGAAAGTTGGGTATTGCTTCCAGCCTCAGAACTGAGAAGTCTGAAAATGCTCAGATTTATATACCTCCACTAAATGTTAAATTTTTACTAATTGTGATTTATTTTTCAGTAAAGTTGTTACTAGAACCAGTAGATATCAGCTGAATATGTGACCCTTGGAGCACTACTCAGCTTCATAAAGAATGAATATGTATTTTACATTGTTATTTCTCATACGAATTATCTTCCACTTAGCAGATCTCAAAAGAATATACTTTTACCAGTGTCAGTGAGGCAGGAGCAGTTGCTAACACTGTTTTCCACACTTTTTCTTGCTGTAGTTCAGTTGTTCACAATCCTGTCCCATCTGCTGAAGCAAGCAGTTCTTTTTGTCACTCATCAGTTGCGGAGCAGAAAGGTTCTGCAAAATTCTTTAAATTGGAAGCAAAAACATTTCTTCCAATGAACTTAGCAGTTGAAGAAAGAAACACATTTGTATTCTGGTTTCCACTATGCTACACAACAATTTACTGTGTTTCAAGCATTATTAAAATTCCATTTAACTTTACACTGCCATTTATTTAGCTGTGGTGTATATTGTTGAAGTTGTTTATAATAAAATAAAATATAGGTTATAAGTATTTAAGAGAGTGTGTTTTGTTTTGGCTTTTACTGTTTTTGATTGCTCTCAAACTTCAGAAATTCAGAAAGAACAAAAGCTTTAAACTGGAATCATTTCCTTGTTTACAAGGCCTAATGAATTTAAAGAAGGGTTTATGAGCCCATTTGTAGGTTTAAGGTTATGAGCATATGTGTCAAAAATATCTAGTATTTGCATGTACTACTTAAGAATTAAGTAACGCATAGTAACCTTTGGATGTGAGAGCTGGACCATAAGGAAGGCTGAGTGAAGGAAGTTAAGACGCTTTTGAACTGTGGTGTTGGAGGAAAATTCTGAGAGTGCCTTGGACCACAAGAAGATCAAACCAGTCCATACTCCAGGAAATAATGCCCAACTGCTCACTGGTGGGAAGGATATTAGAGGCAAAGATGAAGTACTTTGGCCACATCATGAGAAGTGAGGAAAGCTTGGAGAAGAGAATGATGCTGGGGGAAATGGAAGAAAAAAGGAAGAGGGGATGACTGTGGGCAAGATGGATGGATGGTATCCTTGAAGTGACTGGCTTGATTTTGAAGGAACTGGGGGTGGTGACGGCCAACAGGGAGCTCTGGCGTGGGCTGGTCCATGAGGTCACAAAGAGTCTGAAGCAACTGAATGAATAAACAACAAACTGAAGAATTAATCGTCTCATCATTATTTTTGTAGTATCTACATATTTAAATGTTTATATCCACATTTTTGCAATCCTAAACATAATTTTCTGTATTTAAAATAGCCTGTGACCCTCGTTATCTCCAGATGCACAATCAATGGTCATGGTACCCGAGGGTGAGCAGGGAAACACATCTAAAGGGTCTCCAGGTATAAAGGATAACCCACTTTGAAAGACTATATTTTGATGTATAATTAGCCATTGAATAAACAAGAAAATAAGATGTGCTTGTTAAGGTTGTAACAGGTATCCTAGAATGAATATTCGAGGACTCAATGATTCATGCTCACAAAACATAAATTTTAACATTTTGAAATATACAATTTTAAAATTGAGTGAAATTAATTTGGTTAGTACTTTACCAGTGACTTCAAGCTGAAGATTTTAAATCAGTCTGGATTTGTTTGCATGCATATTTTGTTTGTTTAACAAGCTAGCTTGCTCTTTTTACCCTTTCCTTTGCCTCAAGCAAGGATATTCCAATATTTGCAGAGAGCTATGTGCTTAGTAATTAAATCAGATGTGGTAATGAGGACATGGCACCACCACTGCAAGAACAGTAGATCAACAAGCCAGGCAGTTAGTCATGGAGAGATGTCTCGGTTTTCCTTTAATTTGCGTGAGCACCAATGAGCAGGCAAATCATCTGGCCCTGAAGCAATCTGCCGTTAGTTAATTTAGTACGACATGGTATTGCACGATGCTTCAGAAACTGTATCCATCTCTGTGGGAGAGTTCTGTTAGGATGATATGACCTCCCCATCTAGTTGCAGCATTCCTGTGTTATAACAGTCTCTGTGCTTGTGTCCCTTTAACTTGAAACAGATCAAGTGTTGTTCAGTCTGTGTTCAACAAGCTACTGATAATTAAATAAGATCTAGTTTTCTCAGCTAGTTCAGGGACATGGCTCCAGTCAGCCCCAAAAAGGCAGAACTTGGACTATAACTTCAGTTTCTGGGTGGAGGGCTGTGTCTTTGTTGTGTCACTTGAATGAAGCTCTGCAACTTCAGAAAGAAAATAAGAAATTTCTACCACTGTAAGAGTATGGTTTTAAAGCTCTTTGTTATGCTGATATTTTGTATGGAAGGAGCTATCCATGCAAAGGAGCAATAAAAATGAGAACTACTTTCTGTCCTGTCTAGAATTTTACTTCCTCTGGTCTCCACCACTTTATTCTACTTTATGTGTAGATCAAGCAGTGCAGAATTACTGTTTATGGGAGCTCTTGGCATATGGCATTCACACTGCAGAATCCACAGCTACAGAGCCCCTTCTTACGATGTACAGATGACATGAGATACCTTTGGTCATATGAAGGGAGCAGATTCTATGCCTCTTTTTAGTCAAGCACTGTTTCATCATTTGAGGGCAGATATTAGAAAAATATAAGGATCAATGGCAAGTCCTACTCAAAGTCAATTTGTTAAAAGAGAAACATGAAAATAGGCCAGTACTTCCTATGGAGGCCCACCTCTTGCTTCCATCATGGTCACAGGCATGATTGGTGGGGATGAGGGAGAGGGTCTTCATAGTGGTGGCCCCTCAACTTTGTAACACCCTCCGTAGGGAGATCAGGCAAGCCCCCATGCTATCCTCCTTTTGCAGGGATCTGAAAACTTGGTTGTTCCATCAGGCATTTGAGAACGATTCATAAATCCCCAGTCCCTAGGTCACCAGATAGTACTCTGTTCTCTGCACCTTATCTCTGCCCTATCATACATTGTTTTGCACTATCCCATGCCCAACCTTTTTATAGCCTGGTCACATCCATTTTGTAACCATGTTCATTGGTTTTTCATTGAACACAGGCTGGTAGAGCCTCAGTGCTGTTTTCTCATATGTTTAATTGTGTGTATACGGATTATTGTATTTTACAATGTTCTTATTTTATTTTATTTTAGTGGTGGTTTTATTTTAACGGATTGTTTGCTTTTATGTCCGTTGGACTTATTGTCCTATATGTAAGCTACCCTGAGTCCCTTCAGGAAGGTGGTGGTGGGGTATAAAAATAAAGTTGTTGTTGTTGTTGTTGTTGTTGTTGTTGTTGTTATAATCTACAAGTTAGTTTTTGTTGTTGTTATACTCTACAAGTTGCTAAAGCACATCCAAAAGAAAGAGAATATGTGTATGTATAGTACTCTGCAGACAGTCCCAAATATGTTCACTGAAATATTTATATTATAGAACACAACTATGATGCCATGCCTATTTTCCAAAACCATTGCTTTTATTGGAATTGATATGATCTTTTCTAGAGCTTGAGAAGCCTGTTCACCATACAGGAAACCTTGCTTCTGTGCCATAGCCCTGAGCATCTACAACTCTTTCAAGGAGGGCAGCCTCAAGCATAGGGAGTCAGATAGAAACTTATACCAAAAATCTGTTTGGAAACAAACCCAGACTTGTTTTGTGATTTAAAGAAAAGCCCAGACTACAGCAGTTCTCCAGGACATGAGCCCCCACCAGCAAAAGCCAACAGCCTGGATAATGAAATGGTAAGAAAAGCTGCTTTTCCAGCAGGTGGTCAGGGTAAAAAGGAGAGCGAGCCCACTTACCCTGCCGCTTGACATTTTTATTAAACTGCAGGAGTTCTGCATGCTGCTGGGTCCCTGCAGGCAGATTGTTTTGTTCTTTTAGTTTGCATCCCCTAATTTGTGCGGTGAACTGTACTTTTCCCTTGGTTTTGCTCATTACTGAGAACTTGAGTGTGTATGAGAAAGCAAGAGCGAGTCTCACGATTCCTGTTTGCCTGTGAGCCACTTAACATGTATTATATGAAATGATGCGAAACAGAAATATGAATGAGAGTCTCTAGGTTTTTCCTGCACTTCTGTTGTAAAGTATAAGATTAAATTTGTCTGTCTTCCCTAAAACAAGGTCCACAACCTCCTGGTTGACTCCTACAACTACAGCCCCCCC